TGTTCAAGAGGAACGGTTGCCAGACCTCACCGCTGGGGAGCTAAAGTACGCGGGCAGACAGCTCAAGCCTAACGCCGCCATGGGTGTCGACAGATTGTCTGCATGCGACCTGGACCGTCTTCCTCTCGTCGCTCTCGACGAGCTGGCGGCGATCTTGAACACGTGCGAAATCTTCCAGTGCTGGCCACATCAGATATTGCTCACCATCGGCACCCTCTTGCCCAGGAAGGTCACGGGCGACAGGGTGATCGGCTTGCTACCTCACATCTCGCGGCTTTGGTCCAAGGCCAGGGAACCGTGGGTGCAGAGCTGGGCCGAGGAATGCGAGGAGCCGTGGGACGCGGCGATCAAGGGGAACGCTGCCACCCAGGAAGCCTTCCTCCGCGTGGTGGACGAGGAGCTAGCGGCCCGCTTGGGCGTCGCCCATGGCCACGGGCTGCTGGACATCGCCAGTTTTTACGACTCGATAGGATGGAAGAGGCTAGCACTGGCGGCGCTACGCCTGGGATTTCCTCCCGAGATCCTCGGCCTCGAGCTCCCCATGTGCATGGCGATGAGGTGCCTGAGACAATCAGGCGCCTACTCGGCTCCCTTTGCACCTACACGTTCGATTGTGCAGGGGTTGCGAGCAGGCACAAGGTTTGCGAAGATCCTCACTTTTTTCACCACGCAGCGGATTACGTCTACTCACATCGGCATGTCACACCGCCTGTGGATAGATGATTTGAGTCAGGTTGATCGTGGTTCCCGTCGAGCTGTCGTTTATCATCTTTCGGCCTGTCTCATCACGACGTTTGAGCAGATGGAGGAGCACGGCTTGACCATAGCCACCAAGAGTGTTGTGGTTTGTTCGAAGCTAGCAGATGCACGGGCCATTGTGCGACGAGTTCGACAGCACGGTTATCATGTTCGAGCGGCAGCACAGGCAGCGTACTTGGGTGGCGATTGTGGAGGCGGTCACTCTCACGCTCGTGCTGTTCGGGTTGGCAGAGATCAGAAGCATAAGCGAATGCATCGCAAGGTTGCGCAGTACGCACGTACAGCTCGCAGGTACAAGCTGACCTCGAAGCTGGGGCAGCAGGGGGCGCTGGCGGCAGGGGCCTACGGGCACCAGCTGCATGGCGTGTTCGGCCGACGCTTGCAGACCATGCGATCTTACACGTGCGAGGCGGTTGCTCCACGGCTTTCAGGGCGATGCAGCACCACCCTCTTGGACCTGATCGCCCCTGGTAGGGATCCTGCCATGAAGATGCCGAGGGAGTGCCTTCAGTTGTGGCTGCGCTGCTGGACGTCGGAGCCGTCCATGCGAGCGGGCGTCGCCCGCACCTGGAGTGGCTTGGTGCCGCAGCTGCGCGCCATCCCCGCAACCCAGCGCAGCAGACACATTCGAGGACCGCAGTCCGCGGTCATATGTTACCTCCTACAGGAGGGGTGGAACCCCATCGGGCCAGCTGCCTGGGAGCTTCCAGCCGCTGACGGCGAGGGAGGCTGGGAGTTCGACGCGGGCAAGCTGACGGGGGTCCCATCTCTGGACGTCCCGAAGGCCTTCCTGCAGGAGTTCGACTCCACGGTTCAGTCCCAGCTGTGGCGTGAGGCGTCCCAGCACTTCGATGGCGAGGGCTCTCTGTTCGGTGTTTGCAACATGTCGTACCGCACCCTCCTCCAGCAGCTGCGCGACGGGCCCAACGGGGCCAAGTTGTTTGGGATCATGCTGGCTGCTGCAGCAGGCGCCGCATGGCCGCGCACGAGGCGATCGGAGCGGACTAAGGTCCCCATTTCGTCGCTGTGCGCTCGCTGCCAGACCGAGCAGAAGGATAGTTTTCATCGTTGTTGGGGAGTGTGTTCTGGCAGGAACCCGCACCCCATCTATGACATGAGCGATGAGTGGCTGACGAAGGCCATGGTCCAGCATCAAGCTGAGCCATGTTTCTGGCTGCGGGGGCTCATCCCCGCCGAATGGGTTCGAGTTGCACCACCGCAGGCTCAGGAGTGTTGGCACGTGTTTGGGATCGACGCCTTCGAGCCCGAGGTCCTGGGAGGTGGAAGCCTCCACGATCCCATCTACATCTTCGGGGATGCGAGCGGCGGTGAGGACACTCGTGACCCTCGGCTTCGACGGGTCGGAGTCGCTCTCGCTGTCCTCGACCGCCTCGACGATAGCATGACCATCAGCAAAGCTCGTTGGGGAGGACTGCCTGGCGAGAGGCAGACCGTTGCACGTGGCGAGTTGTACGCGTTGCTCGTAGCGTGCCGAGGAGCATCAGGACATTTCATATATATATATATATCACCGATAATGCTAACGTTTGTGAAGGTTGGCATGCAGGCAAACCTTTCTCCCCCGACGGCGAGGACGGAGATCGCTGGTATGCTATAGGCACCGAGCTTCGCCGTCGGCCGTCCATCCAGTGCTGTGTGATATTTGTATACTCTCACCTTGAGGCCAAAGATATTGTTGCTGGCCGCGCTCCCCCCCTGTTAGTCGCAGGAAATACTATTG